ATGTATTATTCTCTCATAAGTTACGTAAGGAATGGACTTGATTATAAAAGCTTAGAATTACAGAAGTTAGATGAGACACTTGATGATCGAAGGGAAGTATCGGTCCGGTGTTCTCCCAGATTTGCAAATCTGTTTCTGTGGGTTTTTACATGTAATCTGTAATAAATTATGTTTAATTCTTTAAGGTGTCTCCTACTAATTTCTCCAAAATCCCAATGACCCGGGTAAGAGCAACTCAGCTCATAACAACAGCACAATGATCCGACAATGAGACAGATATGGGACAGAGCTTAAATACACAGAAAACTAACAAGGGAACAGAAAACACCTGGGGAAGACACAAGGGGATGCAGCTAACAACCCATATCAATGGGCCTGGTACCCCATACTCCCGGAGTAACCCCCACAGAAGTCCCCGAGGGACACAGTCGAACGCCTTTTCCAAGTCCACAAAACACATGTAGACTGGTTGGGCGAACTCCTATGCACCCTCCAGGACCCTGCTGAGGGTGTAGCGCTGGTCCACTGTTGCAAGACCAGGACGAAAACCACACTGCTCTTCCTGAATCCGAGATTTGACTATCCGACGGACCCTCTTCTCCAGGACCCCTGAATAGACCTTACCAGGGAAGCTCAGAAGTGTGATCCCCCTATAGTTGTAAAACATTCTGCCGCCCCCCTTTTTAAATAGGGGGACCACCACCCCGGTCTGCCAATCCAGGGGAACTGCCCCCGATGTCCACGCAATATTGTAGAGTCACGTCAATCAATGCAACCCCACAACATCCAGAGCCTTAAGGAACTCCGGCCGTACCTCATCCACCCCTGGCGCTTTGCCACCAAGGAACTTTTTAACCACCTGGATGACCTCAGCACCAGAGATTGGAGAGTCCATCCCAGGGTCCTCAGGCTCTGCTTRCTCATGGGAAGACATGTCGGTAGGATTGAGGAGGTCTGCGAAGTATTCCGCTCACCAACCCACAATGTCCCGAGTTGAGGTCAGCAGCGCACCATCCCCATTATAAATAGTGTTGGTGGCAAACTGCCCCCCACCTCAAGACGCCAGATGGTGGACCAGAATTGCCTCGAAGCCGTACGAAAGTCTTTTCCATGGCCTCTC